AAGAGTGGTTTACAGTTGTAAGTATGTGAAACCCAGTTTATTCTTGTATTATTATCTATTAATTATTGTATTATTCTCCGTATGAGCAACTGCAAACCTACTTTTGCCCTACCCTGTATATATAGGTTTGTATAAAAACCCCACGCGATATATCTAATGCTTTGAAAACAAGAGTACAGATACCTTAAAGAAGGTCTTATAATTTAAGATGTAAATATAGTAACAAAATTACTGTAGCTCCTTAGCCTGAAGCAGCAGAGGCTGCAGTTTCAGAGTGCGGACTCTGGGCGCCGCTGTTGGCCAGAGTGGAGAGCTGGGCGCTGGTGCTCGCCTCGCGCAGCCGCAGCTCGCTTTCCTCCGCTCACTCGCTAGAGCTGGCCTTTCCACCGCTCCCTCCTCTGGAAGAGAAGAAACCCTGACCCCCACGCAGGAACTAAGGGCTCTTCGGGGCTCTGGACACCCGCGACACAGACATTACTGGTCCTCCGGCGTCTTCAGGCCGGTGAGCGCGCTGAGGGGAGCAAGAGGGATGGGGAGCGGCGCTGGGGACAGGGGCTGGGCTGAGCGGCGGCCAGTGCTCCTTCCCTTCCTGCTGTCTTTGTTCTGCCCGGCGCTCTCTGAGCCGCTGCGCTACCGCATTCCCGAGGAAATGCCCGAGGGCTCGGTGGTGGGGAACCTCGCCAAGGACCTGGGGCTCAGTGTCCGCGAGTTACCGACTCGACAACTGCGCGTCAGCTCTGAGAAGCCTCACTTCACTGTGAGCGCGGAGCGCGGGGACTTACTTGTGAGCGGCAGGCTGGACCGGGAGCAGCTATGCGGGAAGAAGCCAGTATGTGCTCTGGAATTTGAGGCTGTTGCTGAAAAGCCATTGAACTTTTACCACGTGAACGTGGAGATCGAGGATATTAATGACCACCCTCCCAAATTCACGCAAAGCTCCTTTGAGCTGCAAATAAGTGAGTCCACACTGCCGGGTGCGCGATTTATATTAGAAGTAGCGGAAGATGGCGATACTGGCCTAAACTCTCTGCAGAATTACAAACTCTCTCTAAGTCCTATTTTCTCCTTGATAAATAAGGAGAAACCAGATGGTAGTAAATACCCAGAACTGATATTGGAGAAACCCTTAGACCGGGAACAACAGAATCATCATCGATTAGTCCTCACTGCCTTGGACGGCGGAGATCCACCCCTAAGCGGTACCACTGAGCTCCAGATCCAGGTGACTGACGCCAATGATAACCCCCCTGTATTCAAGCAGGACGTGTACAGAGTCAGGCTTTCAGAAAACGTGCCCCCGGGCACCACGGTGCTGCAGGTGTCAGCCACCGACCTGGACGAGGGCCTCAACTCAGAAATAACGTATTCTTTGTCCAGGACGGGGCAAGTGTTCCAACTGAATTCAAAGAGCGGGGAAATTACCACTTCGCGGACACTGGATTACGAAGAAATCAAAGAGTATTCTCTGGTAGTGGAAGGAAGGGATGGTGGAGGACTGGTTGCACAATGTACAGTTGAAATTAACATTCAAGATGAAAATGACAACAGTCCAGAAATTACATTCCATTCGCTGGTGGAAATGATTCTGGAAAACGCAGTGCCAGGAACTCTAATTGCTTTCATCAAAATACATGACCGTGATTCTGGGGAAAATGGGGAGGTTAATTGTCGATTAGAAGGTAAAGTCCCCTTTCAGATCATCTCTTCATCCAAAAGTTCATATAAACTGGTAACAGACGGGACCCTGGACCGAGAACAGACCCCGGAGTACAATGTGACCATCACAGCCACCGACAGGGGCAAGCCGCCCCTCTCCTCCAGCACCACCATCACCCTGCGCGTCACCGACGTCAACGACAACGCCCCGGTGTTCCAGCAGCCAGCCTACCTGGTCCACGTGCCAGAAAACAACCCGCCCGGGGCCTCCATCGCGCAGGTCAGCGCCTCCGACCCCGACCTGGGCCCCAACGGCCAGGTGTCCTACTCCATCGTGGCCAGCGACCTGGAGGCACGGGCGCTGTCGTCCTACGTGTCCGTGAGCGCGCACAGCGGGGTGGTGTTCGCGCAGCGCGCCTTCGACCACGAGCAGCTGCGCGCCTTTGAGCTGACGCTGCAGGCGCGCGACCAGGGCTCGCCCGCGCTCAGCGCCAACGTGAGCCTGCGCGTGCTGGTGGGCGACCGCAACGACAACGCGCCCCGGGTGCTGTACCCGGCGCTGGGGCCCGACGGCTCTGCGCTCTTCGACACGGTGCCGCGCGCCGCGCAGCCGGGCTACCTGGTCACCAAGGTGGTGGCGGTGGACGCGGACTCGGGACACAATGCCTGGCTGTCCTACCACGTGCTGCAGGCCAGCGAGCCCGGGCTCTTCAGCCTGGGGCTGCGCACGGGCGAGGTGCGCACAGCGAGGGCTTTGGGCGACAGGGACTCGGCAGGACAGGGGCTGGCTGGGGCCGTGGCGGGCGGGGGGCCCCAGGCTGAGCTGCAGTTCTATCTGGTGGTGGCCTTGGCCTTGATCTCCGTGCTCTTCCTCCTCGCGGTGATTCTGGCGGTCGCCCTGCCCTTGCGACGCCCCTCCAGCCCCACCACCTGGGGCTGCTTTCAGCCTGGTCTCTGTGTCAAGTCTGGACCTGGGGTTCCCCCCAACTACAGTGAAGGGACTTTGCCCTATTCCTACAATCTGTGCGTGGCCCAAGCTGGGAAGACAGAGTTTAATTTTCTAAAATGTAATGAGCAGTTGAGTTCAGGACAAGACATGCTTTGTGGTGATTCATCCGGGGCCTTATTTCCACTTTGTAGTTCTGGTGAATCGACTTCCCATCCTGAAACACTAACAACGGTGAGTTCCATTTAAGTGTCTAGTCCTTTTCATCAATGACCCAATTTTCTGTATTTGTATGAAAACATATTACACTTCCGAGTCTAGTGAGTTGTTTTAGGGATATTATAGCCTCTCAAAAAGCTGAGCTTTCATTCTTCAAGGGGAGTGTTGAATTGGGAGTAGTTATGTGCCATAAAACAGAGTTATCTTACCAAGTTTGGATTTTCAAAGTGATGAGAGTGTGTTCTTTTTTCACAGCAAAATTATTGTGCCAATTTCTTACTTCTTTTTCAAAGCTATTGAAATTTACCCACTAATTGTCTCATTCCTCATTTAACATGTTAAATATTGTATTATAAGTAAACATTAAAGTAGGCAATCATTTAATTAATCCTTTAGAGCAAAGAAACTACACCCAGGTATTTTCCTTCACTGATTTCACTGGTACTGTTTCTCTCCCTTGTTTATGTTTATTCTTCATGTCTTGTTCCTTATATCTACCTACTCATGATTTTTTGAATCCCTTAAAATTGTAAGAAAAAATAATCTGTGGTGTGTGTGTGTGAGGCAGGGTGGGGGGGACTCAATTAACTCAACAGAAGGTCCAAATCATTTTCTAAATTCCTTCAAGTTTTCTTGAATGCAAACTCTTCCTCTTCCTTTTACAGTATAGGTATCAGGAGAGACTTGATATAAAAAAAAAGGGGAAATGCTACTGCCTCTAACACTCTCATCTCTGACCTCTATTTTTTGAAACAAAGGGGAACGCATTAGATTTGTGTTATTATTTGGTGCCCGAAACATAACTAGAAATTCTGTCATCATCATTGTATCTGTAAGAGGAAAAGAGAATGATAACTTCTTCATTTTAAAGACAAAAACTTCTAATTCCATGCATATATAAAGTTGCCATTAAATAAGCGCCAGTCTTTTGTTGGTTTCCTTTAGGAACTGCTTCAGTAAATGGGGCCTTTGCAAATGGCTGAAATTTATCATAAAGGCACTTGCTTTTTCCTTTCTAGTGGTAACAACTTGTCTATTTCTTGTATTCTTTTTTCCAAGTTGTTACATAAGTTTCAGTGACTCTTAGAATAAGAAGTTTAAGACTACTTTAAAATTGCATGATTTCTTCATGGAAGGACTGAAATGAAAAACCTGCTTTTCAGTGTATGTTCATTTGAATCTTCCAAATGCATCATGTATTCACATAGAAAACTAAAATTTTTTTAAATAGCACAAGTTTTACAATCACAAATATGTAAAATTTAAAAACCAATGCGTTTTAAATTTAGTAATATTAGGTGAGAAAGTTTACATCTATTGCCTAATTAAAATTACTTTGCAAATAAAATTTTAAGGAACCCTTACTCGAGGAATTTTACTATAAAAATACTTGACCTTATAAAATAACTTCAAAGTGAAAAATCTATCCATATATTCGTTCAATATAAATTATGTAAGATACATATATGTCTAAAATTTAAAATAGAGAGAAAGCTAGACTCTACCCAAAATTCAAGTTAATTTGATATCAAGAAAACTGGCGATTTAATAATATACTTAATAGAAATTTCTTTCCACTACGACATCCACAAAGATGATTGCTTTTGAAATATGAACGTAAGAAATAATTAGAGAAATCTAAAATCGTAATTAGAAGAGAGCAGCGTTTTCCTTCAGTCATCTGTGATCCGAGTGCTGTACTGCGTATCTGTGAGTGCAGTAACTGCTTAGGGCTCTGAGCGCCGCTGTTCACCAACTCTAGGAAAAACTCCATCCGCGCTCCCTCCGGATGTTAGAATCTGCCAACTACACAAAGCCCCGCGGACCCCACATCCCAACCCCGGGACGGCAACAAAACGCAGCCTCCTCACTTGGGGCACGCCGGGTCTGTCCTGAGGAAAAAGACGACCTTCATTGGCAGCAGGAGAAGAGAACCTAAGGAGTCAGCGCGGGGGAAAAAGCAGTCTGGGGAATTAAAATCCGGAGTGACGCAACAATGGCCGCTCCAATGAATAGCCCGCCCCGCAGAGGACTGGTCCTGCTCTGCCTTCTCCTGGGAGGGTTGTGGGAGATCCGGGCCAGCCAGATCCGCTACTCCGTGCCCGAAGAGACAGTGAAAGGCTATGTCGTGGGCAACATCTCCAAGGACCTGGGGCTGCAGCCGCAGGAGCTGGCGGAGCGCGGAGTCCGCATCGTCTCCAGAGGTAGGACGCAGCTTTTCGCTCTCGACCCGCGGAGTGGCAGCTTGGTCACCGCGGGCAGGATAGACCGGGAGGAGCTCTGTGCCCAGAGCGCGCGGTGTCTGTTTAACTTTAAAGTTCTGGTTGAAGACAGAGTGCAGCTTTATGGAATAGAAATAGAAGTCACTGATATGAACGACAATGCCCCAAAATTCCAGGCAGAAAATCTGGAAATAAATATTAACGAAATTGCGGCGCCTGGCACACGCTATCCACTCCCAGAGGCTGTTGACCCGGATGTGGGCTTGAACTCCCTGCAAAGCTACCAGCTCAGCCCCAATCACCATTTCTCCCTGGACGTTCGAACTGGAGACGACGGAACTTTAAACCCAGGGCTGGTGCTGGAGCGCGCCTTGGACCGAGAGGAAGAGGCTGCTCACCACCTGGTCCTCATCGCCTCTGATGGAGGCGAGCCTCGTCGCTCCAGCACAGTGCACATCCTAGTGACTGTGTTGGATATGAATGACAATGCCCCGGTGTTTGCTCAACCGATTTACCAAGTGACAGTCCCAGAGAATGTGCCCCCTGGCACCCAGCTGCTTACTGTAAGAGCTAGTGACCCGGATGAGGGAACCAACGGAGAAGTGGCATATAAATTCTGGAAAATCAGTGAAAAACAATCTCCGTTATTTCAGCTCAACGAAAAAACTGGGGAACTATCAACAGCAAAGAGTCTAGATTATGAAGAATGTGCATTTTATGAAATGGAAATACAAGCAGAAGATAGTGGAGGGTTGAAGGCATGGACGAAGGTGCTCATTTCGGTGGAAGATGTAAATGACAATAGACCCGAAGTGACCGTTACATCTCTGTTTAGTCCAGTTAGGGAAGATGCTCCTCAAGGAACAGTAATCGTTCTTTTCAATGCTCATGACCAAGACTCTGGGAGGAATGGTCAAGTTGTTTGTTCCATCCAGGAGATCCTACCTTTTCGATTAGAAAAGTCAATAGAAGATTATTATAGAGTGTTGACATCCCAAATTCTTGACCGAGAAAAAACCTCCGAATATAACATCACAGTGACTGCGACAGACAGAGGAACACCGCCCCTGTCCACAGAAATTCACATCACTCTGCACGTGGCTGACATCAATGATAATCCACCCTCCTTCTCTCAGACCTCCTACGCGGGCTATCTCCTGGAGAACAACCTTAGAGGCACCTCCATCTTCTCTGTGACAGCCCATGACCCTGACAGCAATGAGAATGCCCGAATTACTTACTCCTTGGAGGAAGGCACCATCCAAGGGGTGCCTCTCTCCTCCTATGTCTCCATCAATGCAGATACTGGTGTGATTTATGCGCTTTGTTCCTTCGACTATGAGCAGTTTCGAGATCTTCACATGCGAGTTAGGGCAAGTGATAGTGGGAACCCACCGCTCAGCAGCAGCGTGTCACTGAACTTGTTCGTGCTGGACCAGAACGACAATGTGCCAGAGATCCTGTACCCCGCCATCCCCACCGATGGTTCCACCGGCGTGGAGCTGGCCCCCCGCTCTGCAGAGCCCGGCTACCTGGTGACCAAGGTGGTGGCCGTGGACAGAGACTCCGGCCAGAACGCCTGGCTGTCCTACCGCCTGCTCAAGGCCAGCGAGCCAGGGCTCTTCGCGGTGGGGCTGCACACGGGCGAGGTGCGCACTGCAAGGGCCCTGCTGGACAGAGACGCGCTCAAGCAGAGCCTGGTGGTGGCAGTTCAGGACCATGGCCAGCCCCCTCTCTCAGCGACAGTCACACTCACCGTGGCCGTGGCTGACAGCATCCCGGATGTGTTGACTGACTTGAGTAGTCTTGAGATCCATTCCGCCCCGGAGGCCTCGGACCTCACGCTCTACTTGGTGGTGGCCGTGGCTGCGGTCTCCTGTGTCTTCCTTGCCTTTGTTATCGTCCTGCTGGCACTCAGGCTGAGGCGTTGGCACACATCACGGCTGCTCCAGGCTTCAGGAGATGGATTGGCTGGCATGCAGGCTTCTCACGTTGTGGGCGTGGATGGGGTCCAGGCTTTCCTGCAGACCTATTCCCATGAGTTCTCCCTCACTTCGGACTCTAGGAGGAGTCACCTGATCTTCCCTCAGCCCAACTATGCAGATACACTCATCAGCCAAGAGAGCTGTGAGAAAAAGGATCCTTTGTGTCTTTCAGAGGATTCAAAATTTCCTATAGAAGACACTCCTTTGGTTCCAGTGAGTTCCATTTTTTCTTTCTGTCTATTATAATTGGTTTTCTTTCAAGTATTTGTACTAAGGTAGGATATGTTGTTAATAACGTATTTTTCACCATTTAAGTTTTTACTGGGTCCAATTTTTGTTCTAACATCCATAGAAAGAATTTATTGGTTACATCACTGACATGATTTGCATTTTCTCATAATAATTCATTGGGTCAATGAAACCTTCCTTTTGGGACTGCTCTCATGATCTGGGGTTAACGTAGGTTTTTTTTGATGGGGTTGCTTTATTAGTTATCCTGGTTCACTACTAATTTTAAGGCTGGTTTTCCATTCCTGAAACTTATTGTTATCTCCAATGGCCACATTGTGGAATTCTTATTTAAAAAAAAAAAAAGATTACTATAGTCAATACTATCCTGTAAGGGTAAATTAATGAGAAGGCAAATGCATTCTCTCAGAGACACAACTGAAGGTCCGGGTTTACTGCTTCTGCTTTTCTATTTCTATGGCAGGACAACACCCCTTTCAGGTGACTTTTTCAGTCTAATGTGTGTAGAGATTGTTTGCATTTAAAGATCATTTCTGAGGAAGATTCAAACTTCAGTTATCATGTATTTCCAACCCCAATTAAAGCATGTTTTATCCTTTTAATGGTGAAAATTTTAACATCCTTGTTTTCATATTCTTAAGGTTTTAATTCCCGAATGCAATAAGGTCAACTTATTAATAGCTTGAAACTTCTTTCCTATACTTTATGCTTGCTCAAGAGGGGTTTCTGAGACTGAACACTCTGAGAGGGGAAAGTAAGGGAAATGAAAAGTACCCTTGGATTGTGTTATTATGGCTCAGTTCTTCAACTTTTGAGGCTAGAAATAAATCTGGTTATGGGAAATGATTTAGGAAAATATTTTCAGGAACTGCTAAGAAGGTTCAAACAATACTTTACTGGCTTTTAGCTATCAGGAAAAGAATAATGTATTGTTTAATTTGATTTTACACATACTTTCAGTTCAAATAATAAATGACACTCTAGGAGGCTTTGAAAATAAGCTTTGCAGTCAACTCAAAATGCTATTCTAGACATGCTGGATACAACGGCTCGTATGTCTGGGAATCTATTATGGCGTGCAGACATTATAATTATTTCAAATATTCTCTATTTCTAATGTAGTAGAAAAAAAGTAAACCATCACCTGTAGTCATATTTTTAACCATGCAGTAAGGAAATCTTTTGGTTAAAGCTTCTGCCTTGGGGACTAATCTTTACTACTTAGTACTCACCAATATTAAAATATGTATTAATTTGAAAAATGGCTATTGATGAAGGTTTCTGTGTCAAGGTAGGTAACTACTATTCTAGGAAAAAATGTCACTGCCTTTAAAGAAGAACATAAGTATCACTGGGGGAATGACTGGACAGAGTGTGGAAAATCTTAAATTATAGTTTTCTTAAACTAGGTAGGACTTCTGCATGGGTAACAGATTATATAATAGAATATGCTTAAAGATAAAAGTCTTTTTTTAAAAAAAAAGATAAAAGTCTTATCACCTCAATGTCTCATCTTAAAAGAAGTTAATTAAAATATCTTGGGTTTGCTTCAAAATAATGAGAGAAGGGAATATATATTAAACAAAGATGGTCTTTGTTGATCATTGTTGCATTTGGGTGATGGGTATATGAAGATTCAATAATAATGCTCTCTGCTTTAGTATAAACTTGAAGTATTCCATAATAAATTTCGTGAAAACACTAAGTATATAGGCATCCGATGTAAACAAAGATTGGGGGCTATTATATAACTGCACTTTTGAAGAGAGATGTGCCTTCTGGAGATAAATTGGATTCAAGCCTAAAATGCCAGACTGCAGTTCCACACGGAGACTCTGGGCGCCGCTGTCGGCCAGTGCAGGGCGAGCGCTGACGGCCGGCACGCTCCAGCCTCTAGCCTGGGATTCCCCGCGCAGCCACCAACACAGAGAGAAGGAAACCCGCTACCACAGCGGGGCTCCTGGCCGCGCAGACTCTCTTCAGCCCGAACGGATTCCCAGCTCTGTCCTGGGACGAATGCTCTTCCCGTGACACTGTGGCTTGCGTTTCTTCGGCTTTCCGGAGAGACCGGGACCCAGCGAGAACTAGAGCGCGCGATGGGAGGGAGCTGCGCGCACAGACGCGGGGCCGGTCGGCCGCAGGTACTGTTTCCCTTCCTGCTGCCTTTGTTCTACCGCGCACTCTGTGAGCCGATCCGCTACTCGATTCCTGAGGAGCTGGCCAAGGGCTCGGTGGTGGGGAATCTCGCCAAGGACCTAGGGCTCAGTGTCCAGGAAGCGTCAGCTCGGAAGCTGCGAGTTAGCGCGGAGAAGCTGCTTTTCAGTATAGACAGGGAGAGCGGGGACTTACTGGTGAAGGACCGAATAGACCGCGAGCAGATTTGCAGAGAGAGGAGAAGATGTGAATTGCAGTTGGAAGCCGTGGTGGAAAATCCCTTAAACATTTTCCATATCATTGTGGTTGTTGAGGATATTAATGACCATGCTCCTCAATTCGATAAAAAGGACATACATTTAGAAATTTTTGAGTCTGTATCCGCAGGTGCACGAATATCCCTTGACCCTGCCACTGACCCCGATATAAACATGAACTCAATTAAAGACTATCATATCAATCCTAACTCTTACTTCAAGTTAATGGTTAGAGTTAATTCCGATGGTGGCAAATACCCAGAGTTATCTTTGGAGAAACCTCTAGACCGGGAGGTGCAGCGGTCTCATCGCTTGATACTAACGGCCTTGGATGGAGGGGACCCGCCACGAAGTGCCACCGTTAGAATAGAAATTGTTGTCAAAGACACCAATGACAACCCCCCGGTGTTTAGCAAAGATGAATATAGAGTCAGTGTCAGTGAAAGTCTGCCCCCTGGGTCCTCCGTGCTGCAGGTGACAGCCACTGACCAGGATGAGGGGGCCAATGCCGAAATAAGCTACCACTTCAGGAGCACTGCTCAGAGTACGAGGCACATGTTCTCACTGGACGAGAAAACAGGCCTGATTAAGAATAACCAGTCATTGGATTTTGAGGATATGGAAAGATATACCATGGAAGTGGAAGCAAAAGACGGAGGTGGTCTCTCCACCCAATGTAAAGTCATAATAGAAATCCTAGATGAAAACGACAACAGCCCAGAAATAATCATCACGTCTCTCTCGGATGAGATTTTGGAGGATTCCCAACCAGGAATGGTCGTGGCCCTCTTCAAAACACGGGACTGGGATTTCGGAGGAAATGGCGAGGTCATGTGTGACATAGAAAGAGACGTTCCTTTCAAGATTCATTCTTCTTCTAATAATTACTACAAGCTGGTGACAGACGGGACCCTGGACCGAGAACAGACCCCGGAGTACAATGTGACCATCACAGCCACCGACAGGGGCAAGCCGCCCCTCTCCTCCAGCACCACCATCACCCTGCGCGTCACCGATGTCAACGACAACGCCCCGGTGTTCCAGCAGCCAGCCTACCTGGTCCACGTGCCAGAAAACAACCCGCCCGGGGCCTCCATCGCGCAGGTCAGCGCCTCCGACCCCGACCTGGGCCCCAACGGCCAGGTGTCCTACGCCATCGTGGCCAGCGACCTGGAGGCACGGGCGCTGTCGTCCTACGTGTCCGTGAGCGCGCACAGCGGGGTGGTGTTCGCGCAGCGCGCCTTCGACCACGAGCAGCTGCGCGCCTTTGAGCTGACGCTGCAGGCGCGCGACCAGGGCTCGCCCGCGCTCAGCGCCAACGTGAGCCTGCGCGTGCTGGTGGGCGACCGCAACGACAACGCGCCCCGGGCGCCTCCTGGTGGCCGTGCGGGACGGGGGCCAGCCGCCCCTCTCAGCCACCGCCACGCTGCTCCTGGTCTTCGCTGACAGCCTGCAAGAGGCGCTGCCGGACCTGAGCGAACGTCCTTCGCCCTCTGACCCCCAGGCTGAGCTGCAGTTCTATCTGGTGGTGGCCTTGGCCTTGATCTCCGTGCTCTTCCTCCTGTCCATCATTCTGGCGACTGCCCTGCACCTTCGTCGCTCCTCCAGTCCCTCCGTTTGGGGTTGCTTTCAACCTGGTTTCTGCTCCAAGTCTGGACCTGTGGTTCCCCCCAACTACAGTGAGGGAACATTGCCCTATTCCTACAATCTGTGCGTGGCCCAAGCTGGAAAGACAGAGTTTAATTTCTTAAAATGTACTGAGCCCTTGCATTCCGCTCAAGACATAGTTTGTGGTGATTCTTCTGGGCCCTTAGTTCCACTTCAGAGTGGGAATGATTTCACTTCGCATCCTGAGACCCTAACACCGGTGAGTTTCATTTCTGTGTCTTCAATAATATTCTACTAGTTTCTCATATTTCAGGTGTACTACTTCATTTTTATATCTAGAATAATTTTTTAGAAAATCCATAACTTATCACTATTTTGTCTTTTCAGTGTTCACTTTAGCTGTTATATTTTTCAAGATTTTTTACTTGGTTCAGAAGTTGCTCTATAATTTAAAAAGAATGTTACTCAATTAGAGATATCTTTTCAAGCTGAGATTAGTAAAACAGAGACAGTGGTCTTGGCTTCTTACGAAATAAATACATATAACCTATCCAAATCTGCTAAGATTTAAGATAAAATTTCTATATCCTACTTATATGTTTTTAAAGTTTAGTAATATTCAGGCACTCATTATCGATCAAAGCATGTGCTCCTTCCAAAAGAACATTTATTGCATACAATCTTATAGGTGTTTTTAGATTTCTTTTTTCACTATTTTAAAAATTTATAAAACGGTAAGCATTTGAGAGGTATGGTGAGCAGATCCATGAATTCCTGAGATAATATGTGATGTTATAGATGTATGATGTATTTTTCTTGGGAGAGGTGTCAAAATTTTGTTTCCATTGCCAAGGTTTCTATGGTCCCCAAAACTTAATACTAACTACCCTGGCTGAATTTTTTTCTTCAAATTTGGTCCTCCTGGCTTTCTTCTTATATTTACTTGTCTTTTACGGAGCTCCAGTTGTACTCTTTTCCAATCTTCTTTCCTCTCCATTGCAAGATCAAGAATTTCCAAGAAAGCAAATGAAATGCTCTTACCTTTTGTGTTCAGACTCTGTCTTGGATTGTCTGGTATACAAATCTTTGAAGACTAAAGATAAAACCTTTAATGACTAAAGATAAAATCTATGAAGAGTTACATATGTGGGACATAGTGACATAAATACTTCTGAACACATGTTCTCTGTATGAAAGAAGTGAACCTCTAAGCCCTTCACCTTTGAAGGGAGAACTGCTGTTGAGTTGATGGGCACATACAATTGAGAGTATGTGTAGCACTTTACTTTGGGCTCCCATACAAAATGTTAAAAGAAGAGAATATTTAAATTGGCAGCAGTGCCCTGATGAAAACAGGCCATTTGACATAAGCACTTATGTTTTAAACACCTACATCACTATTTCTAAGTTTGTTTTTGAAAATTGCAGCACTTGAATCTCCTGTACATATATCTCTTCCAATTACAATGCAGACGTGTTCCCCTTAGTTTTTGATTACCTTCTCAACTTCTTTAAATAGGTCAAACCCACTTCTAATAATGTATACCCCAAATAAGATCATTAAAAAGATTAATAGAGGCTCAATAAAACTACTTTAGAAAACAACATTTTGAAAACCTTTTATACAATCTTAACACTAAACAAACTTAATTAGTTAATTAAATCTAAAATAAAAAGATTTTAAGTGAATTGTTAGGGGCATCTCTCAGAGATTCTATATGAATGTCTAAACAATTGGATTGTTTAAATCTAAATTTAAAATAAAATTGTAAGACTTCTGAATATTTTTAGAAGCTCACATGAAATAAAATAAGCATTACTTACCTCTGGATATATTTCTGTTGAGAAAATAAGTGTTGAGATACATATTTAACAAACTATTTTCACTTCGCATTTTATAGTACTTTCATTCCAGTTTATTCTATCCAGTAAAGAAACCTACTAATAGTTTATTTACTGATATCAGCCAAGAAATCAAAGAAGTAATGTGAAATAAAATAAAATCTCCAACAAAGAGTAGCGCTTGTTTTTTATGGCATACACAGCGGGTGCAGTAACTCCTGAGGACTCTGGGCGCCGCTGTTCACCTACGAGGAAAGAATCGCAGCCAGCGCTCCATCCGGATTCTCGGGGCTCCAACTACACAAAAGCTCCACAGTTCCTACAAACCGGCTCCGGGGCTGCAGCGACACTCACTCTCGAATTTAAGGTGCTCAGCCTACAGAGACTCCTTGCAGCCAGAGGAAGAGAAAGGGACCGGTCCAAACACGCAGCGTGTCCAGTGAGGACATCGCCAGAATTCCGTGACCAAACAACAATGGCCGCTCAAAGGAATCGCTCCGACCGCCGCGCGCTGGTTCTGCTCTGCCTTTTCCTCGGTGCGCCGTGGGAGTCTGAGGCCCGGCAGATCCGCTACTCGGTGCCTGAGGAGCTGGACAAAGGCTCCTTCGTGGGCAACATCTCCAAGGACCTGGGGCTGGAGCCCCGGGAGCTGGCGGAGCGCGGAGTCCGCATCGTCTCCAGAGGGAGGACGCAGCTTTTCGCTCTGAATCCGCGGAGCGGCAGCTTGGTCACGGCGGGCAGGATAGACCGGGAGGAGCTCTGCGCTCAGAGCGCGCGGTGTCTGGTGAGTTTTAACATTCTTGTGGAAGATCGGGTGAAACTTTTCGGGGTAGAAATAGAAGTAACTGATATCAACGATAATGCCCCCAAATTCCAAGCGGAAAATCTAGACGTAAAAATCAATGAAAATGTCGCTGCAGGGATGCGTTTCCCTCTCCCGGAAGCTGTTGATCCGGATGTGGGCGTGAACTCCCTACAGAGCTACCAGCTCAGCCCTAGTAGGCACTTCTCTCTAGCAGTTCAGAGCCGTGCCAACGGTGCCAAGTACCCGGAGCTGGTGCTGGAGCGCGCCCTGGATCGGGAGGAAGAGGCACAGCACCACCTGGTCCTCACCGCCTCCGACGGGGGTGACCCTCTCCGATCGGGCACTGTCCTCATCAGTGTCACTGTCTTCGATACCAATGACAACGCACCTGTCTTCACTTTGCCTGAATACCGAGTGAGTGTTCCGGAGAACGTGCCCGTGGGCACACAGCTGCTGGCAGTCACTGCTACCGACAGGGATGAAGGAGCCAATGGAGAAGTGACATATTCGTTCCGAAAATCACCTGATACACAATTACTGAAATTCCAACTCAACAAAAATACCGGAGAAATAAAATTATCAGAAAATCTAGATTATGAAGAAACAGGCTTCTATGAGATAGAAGTACAAGCAGAAGATGGAGGAGCCTATCTTGCAACTGCAAAAGTGTTGATTACAGTAGAAGATGTAAATGACAACCGTCCAGAAGTGACCGTCACATCTCTGTTTAGTCCCCTGAAGGAAGATTCACCTCTGGGGACTGTTATCGCTCTGTTAAACGTGCACGATCTAGACTCTGGGCAGAATGGACAGGTCACCTGCTCCATAGCAGGTCATCTACCATTTAAGTTAGAAAAGTCCATTGACAGTTACTATAGATTGGTGACCCATGGGGCTCTTGACAGGGAGCAGGTATCCTCCTACAATATTACTGTAACAGCCACAGATGGAGGAAGCCCACCCCTGTCCATGGAAACTCACTTCACCCTGCAAGTGGCAGACATCAATGACAATCCGCCCACCTTCTCTCACATAGCCTACGTTACCTATGTCCCAGAGAACAACCCAAGAGGCGCCTCCATCTTTTCAGTGACTGCCCTGGACCCTGACAGCAAAGAGAATGCTCAGATTATTTACTCTCTAACTGAAGACACTATCCAAGGGGCACCTCTCTCTTCCTACATCTCCATCAACTCTGACACAGGAGTCCTGTATGCACTTCGCTCCTTCGACTATGAGCAGTTTCGTGACCTACAGATGCAGGTAACTGCCACAGATAGTGGTAACCCACCCCTCAGCAGCAATGTGTCTCTAAGCCTATTTGTGCTGGACCAGAATGACAATGCTCCAGAGATCCTGTACCCCTCTCTTCCCACCGATGGCTCCACCGGTGTGGAGCTGGCCCCCCGCTCTGCAGAGCCCGGCTATCTGGTGACCAAGGTGGTGGCGGTGGACAGAGACTCCGGCCAGAACGCCTGGCTGTCCTACCGCCTGCTCAAGGCCAGCGAGCCAGGGCTCTTCGCGGTGGGGCTGCACACGGGCGAGGTGCGCACTGCAAGGGCCCTGCTGGACAGAGACGCGCTCAAGCAGAGCCTGGTGGTGGCTGTTCAGGACCACGGCCAGCCCCCTCTCTCGGCCACTGTCACACTCACCGTGGCCGTGGCTGACAGCATCCCAGATGTCCTGGCCGACCTGGAAAGTCTTGAACCTTCCAACAACCCTGACCACTCCAGCCTCACGCTGTACCTGGTGGTGGCAGTGGCTGCTGTCTCCTGTGTCTTCCTTGCCTTTGTCATCATGTTGCTGGCACTCAGACTGCGCCGCTGGCACACATCTCATCTACTCCAGGCTTCAAGAGGCAGGTTGGAGGGTGTGCCCGCCTCGCACTTTGTGGGTGTGGATGGGGTGCGGGCTTTCCTGCAGACCTATTCCCATGAGGTCTCCCTCACTGCTGACTCTCGGAAGAGTCATCTGATCTTTCCTCAGCCCAACTATGCAGACACGCTCATCAGCCAGGAGAGCTGCGAGAAAAAGGATCCTTTGTCTTTGCTAGATGACTCGAAGTTTCCTATAGAAGATACCCCTTTGGTTCCAGTGAGTTCTATTTTTACTCCTTTCCTTTCATTTAAAAAATTATGATTGGTTTTGTGTTTAGGTTTGCAGCATATCGATGGGAATTTTTAATCTTTATTCTTTCATATTATCCAATTCGATTTGCTTCTTGCTAACATAGTCTAGAGTAGAACTTGTCAGTTATTAAGACTATGGCTTCACTTTCTGATAAACATGTGTGATGGCAATGAAGGTCTATCGTCATAAGATGGTTACCATTAGTTTTGCAGAGCCTTATCTTTTATAGTTTTGTGTGCTGTCCTTTGGTCAGATGCTGAAATCCTAGCTCCTATTTTGAAGGCAAGTCCGGTAAACATAGGTAAATGTCAGAAACAAATGCATTGACATCACTGGAAACATAACTCAAACACAAGGCCACTCATTTCCTTCCCAAGGAGAAGGGCAGAAGTACACCTTTGTGGTTATATTCTTTAAACTATACCTTGTAACAACAATCACAATTGAATTTACTTCCTAGAGATTTAGATTTTTCATCAGTATTGTATAAGAAATCATAACAATGAGTGCTTAAACTTTCCCAAGTGCAATCATATCTGGTAACATTGCAACACCTTCTTTTTGCCTGAGATTCTAATTTCTTACCATAGTGTGGAAGACATAGCATTTTAATTTGACTTTCCTTGCTCAATCAGGTTTCTAGAAAACATATAGAAGGTTAAATTATGCTCATTTTAAGTTCTTCTCTCTCCCTATTATTTTTTTGGTTAAATTCTCCAATCTCTGAGGCTGAAAAATATAGAGAGATTGGGGAGACAGATGGGTTGTACATGTTCCCAAGGGATGTGTGG